CCCCAGAGCCTGCCAGGAGTGACCCCTGAGTGTAGAGCCAGGAGTAAGCCCTGAGCACCACCAGTAGAACAGCCAAACAAGACAAACCAAAGAGGCACTGAGATCCATCAAGGCTCCTGCCCGGCAGGGAGCAGGGTTTAAAGTCACGGCTCAGCTCTACTGAGGTTTAATAACTGCTGCCAGCGAGGACACCAGGTTCCCCCTCCTGGGGCCCTGCCCTTGGCGCCTACCAACAGACCAACGTTCAAGTCAATGAGGTGTCCTCCATCAAATGTAAGAGACAATATTCTCCCTCCCTCCCTCCCTCCCTCCCTTGCTCGCCCCCTCCCTCCATCTTTCTCTCCTCCATCCATCCTTCTCTTCCTCCCTCTCTCCCTCTCTCCCTTCCTCTCTTTCCCTCCACCTCTCTCTCCCCCCTCCCTCCCTCTTTCCTTTCCTCCCCCCCCTCTCTTTCCAAAACTAACACCAGGACACAGCCCTTAGGTAGGACCACCAGAGTGAATCCCACAGCATGCTGGGATGCAGGTGCTAGGCTGACAGATGCTCAGGTACGCTGAACTTTTTATTTTTTTTTTTTTTTGCATTTTGGGTCACACTCGGTGATGCACAGAGGTTACTCCTGGCTTTACACTCAGGTATTATTCCTGGTGGTGCTCGGGGGACCATATGGGATGCTGGAAATTGAACCTGGGTCTGCCACGTGCAAGGTAAACGCCTTGCCTGCTGTACTATCGCTCCAGCTCCAGGTATCCTGAATTCTAAGCATCTCTGCAATGCCACCATCATGGACCTAACAACGCTTAAAAATCTAAATGTAAACTCCAGTGCCCACGTGTTTCAGTAATACAGTCAGTGACTGAACAAATACTGAGAATGACCAACCCCTCTTGCTTGGATCACGTTTGAGACTAGCGAGCTGTCCGTGTTATTTCAGATAAAACTCTTTTGTTGTCTACTTTGGGGCCTCACTTGGGTGGGTGCACTCTGGGCTCTGCACTCAGAAATCACTCCTGGAGGGCTTGGGGGATCATATAAGATGCCCGGGATCAAGGCTCAACTCTGGGCCAGCCATGCGCAAGGTGCCCTAATCGTTGTACTATCACTCCGGCCCCCATAAACCTATTTCCTTCTAGTCTCAGAGGTCACAGTCTGGGGTCTGTCAGAAACACTTTCCTCCGAGGGCATGAACCTGATGGCACAGGTTTAGCGAATTCATCCCTCTGGGTCAAAAATTTTCACCTCCTTTGGTTGGTGAAGGAAAAAAAAATGAAAGAATTCTTTTCAAGGAAGGCTTCACACTTACTGCCTCTTAAAATACACTGCTTGGCACGTAGTGGGTTCTCAGGAAATCGCATTGGACAAACACGGCCAACTCAGTCTAGGAAGTGTGGGCGCAGGGATAGTGGAGCGCATAACTCTGGGATTTGCTTCAAAAGATGACATCTTCACTAAAACTGCTCACTCGGTTCAGAGTGATAGTACAGCGGGAAGGGTGTTTGCCTCACATACAGCTGGCCCATGTTTGATCCCAGGCATCTTATATGGTCCCCCGAGCACCGCCAGAAGTAATTCCTGAGCAGAGAGCCAGGAGTAACCCTGAGCGTCATCACTGGGCGTGAGGAAAAAAAAATGCTCATTCAACATAACAAGGGGCTATGAAAACCAGACTTCCCTTCACTGTAGAGCCCACCTCGAGCCCATTTGGTGGACACACAGCCCAGAGCCTATAGTCACTCACACTCTGGGTAGGCAAGGTCAAAGGTCAGAACAGAGGGGCCCAGAGACCACTGCACTCTGCACGCCACTCAGCTGTGGGGGCTGAGTGTAAAAAAATTCAGCACCTTACAGAGATGCTCCTTCCGGAGGATTCCGTGCCTGTTGACGGACCAGGCTGGCAGGCCACAGGCCAGAGAATGGGAATTCTACCAAGCGGAGACACGTGAGCACTGGGGGGGAAGTGGAGGGGGAGAATCTCTCTGAAGGAGATGCACCTTGAGCCGCACCCGGATGCTGTCGGGAAGCAGAGGGTCAGCGCCGCTCCACCCCCGCTCCTCGTCCATGGGGTGTGAGGGTGAAGGCCAGGGCCAGCAGCCTCCACTGACCGAGACAAGGCTGAGAGGGACTTAGCGTAGAGCTGCACATTTGTCTCGAATCATGCTTCCTTCGCATGGTTCCAGGTCAAAGAAACGCACGCAAGGAATTTGCCTTTAGTGACATTCAAGATCTAAACTCCCGAAGGCCCAGGGCCACCGCCCAGCATCCACCCAAAGAAAAAGACCATGAGAAGGGCTGGAGTGACAGAACAGTGGGTACCTGCACAACCTGGTTCTATCTTCGACACCCCAGATGGTCCCCAGAGCACCCCCCCAGGAGTGATTCCTGAGTGCAAACCCAGGACGAACCCCTGAGCATCGCCAGGTGTAGGTCCCAAACAATCAAAAAAAAAATAGTGTGGAAACAAACTATAAGATAGTATAGAACTGGGGGCCGGAGCGATAGCACAGTGGGCAGGGCATTTGCCTTGCACGCAGCTGACCCATGTTCGATCTCCAGCATCCCATATAGTCCCCCGGGCACCGCCAGGAGTGATTCCTGAGTGCAGAGCCAGGAGTAACCCCTGAGCATCGCTAGGTTGACCCCCCCACAAAAGCCAAAAAAAAAAAAAGTATAGATCCTGACAGTTCTGTACTCTAGGACTACACAATACTATATAGATACTGTCAGATAAACAGTGTAGGACTATACAATAGGATTTAAAAAGAAAAGTAAGAAACTACCAAATAGCTACTCTAAGATATATACTGTAGGACTATACTCTAAGATACTATGCCACATAAATACTGTTAGACAATACTATGAGGACTACAGAGACTATAGATGAGTACTATATAAGTATACTATACTGTAAGATACTATAAGAACTATACTCCATAGATGCTGTCAGCATAAATACTGGAAGGCCCTACTGATCTGGGCCCCCAGAAATCCCCTTTCTACAGAGAGTGTGAGATGGTTGTTGCCAGGGGCTGGGGAAAGTGGGAATGAGAGCTTTGTTTAATGGGGACAGCATTGGGCTTTCAAGATGAAACCGGAGGGCTAGAGTGACAACACAGCGGGTAGGGCATTTGCCTTGCACGTGGCTAACCCGGGTTCGATTCCCAGTATCCCATATGGTCTCCCGAGCACTTCCAGGAGTGATTCCTGAGTGCAGAGCCAGGAGTAACCCCTGTGCATCACTGGTGTGATCCAAAAAGAAAAAAAAAGATGAAACGAGGTCCACAAGCAGACATGGGGAGCCTTATACCTCACGTAACTTCAATCACCCAACTCTGCCTGTGCTCATAGCAAGATAAAGACGGCAAACTCTTTCTGGTGGGCAACGGCCACAAGAAAAACCCTCCTGTCAAAAAAGAGGGAACAGGGCAAATGCACTTTCCCCTGCAGAGGCTTCGGAAAAAAAGCACCATCCAACGGTTCCGATGCAGAAACGTAGAGTGACTTAAAAACCAAACCAGAAAATGAATCCCCAGAAGACTTGTATGATGTCTAATTTAAAATTCCAAAAATAAAATTAGAAAACTAAGATTTTGAAGGGGTAAAAAAAAATTCTTTAAATTTATTTATCTTTTTTAAATCTGCTCTCCAGCCAGCACACAGAGAGTGCAATGCCAATTTTTTTTAGCGCCACCCTCCACCCCACCCCCCACCTCCCCGCTAAACTGCAGGTTCTCCACCATCTGCCTGTTATATTTAGACCCCAGCCCCCGGCTCTGCAAGAAAACTAGATCTGGAAATGCCCGTTTGACTTGCAGGGGTGGGCATGGACCTTCCTGGCCAGGTCGAGGTGGACCTGTTGCTTTTCAGCTGATCACACAATGGGGGGTGGGGGGAGTGCCAGGACATACCTTTCAGCTTTTAAATCCAAAGCCCACTCCTGCAAGCCCCCTGCTCCTCCTTCTCACAAGCCAGGTTCCTCGGGGTTGGTGGGGGGGGGGGGGGCGGGAGGGGGCTGCAGGAAAAAACAGCTTGCAGAATGATCAGCAAGGGACCCAGGTGGCATGGCCGTCCCTTTGTTCATCATCCTCACCAGTTAAAGGTCCTGGATCTTTCAGCCCGTCTCTGAGAATAAAACGCTTCCCCAGCTACTCACTCTCCTGTGCCCAGAGACGCACCCCGCCACCCCTTAAGCAGGCAAAACTGGGCGCCCTTTAGCTCACTCTTCCGAAGGGTCCCTAGTCAGGACTGGCCCAAGGTCGGGTCTTCACTTGAACACAGAGTGGGGAAATTGGAAGCCACGCGCGTGCAGGTCCTCCCGCTCTCTCTCCCCTCCAGGGACAGGGCTGGCCGGCATCCCCAAGGGAGCAGGAAATTTGTCAGGTGCTCCTCTTCAAACAGGAAGCCTGGCAGCCTCGGGGGGCGGGCAGGGAGAGGGGAGCAAGCTGACAAGTGGCCGGAGCGTGCCCCCTGCATCCCCCGAAATGCCACCTGGGGTGCCCGGGCACCTTCCAACTAACCTCTTCCCACCGGCGGCCGCGACGCCGAAGCAAAGCTCCCAGAGTCCACAACCCACCGTGCCCATCTGTCCGCCGCAAGGAGCACCGCCAGGCGGGAAGCAGAGAATCGGAGAGTCTCGAGGCCGGGAGAGCCGGCGGAGGGAGTGTCGGAGAGAGAGGCGGTTTCTCCCGCTCTGAACTTATCAGCCGGGCTCCCACTGCTATCAACATCACCCCCACAGGCAGCACGCCTCCCGGAATCCCCACCCCTTATCTGCAGAGCTGTCACCAGAGGGGCGATGCAGGGGGAGAGAGGGAGAGAGAGAGAGAGAGAGAAGGAGAAAAGCTGCAGCCGTGGCCGCCGGGGTGGAGGGGTACCCAGAGGAAAAACCAGAAACCCAGGGAGCTGCAGCCCCGGGGAAATCAATCATGCCGCCTGGACCCTGGCATGCTGCCAGCGTCGTCTCCACCCCCGCCCCTGCGTGTGACTTGGGTCACTCCTCTTACCTGTGTGGTCTTGGCCCTCCTGCCTTGCATGCTGTTGCTGTGGCTGATCTGGGGGTTGGTGGCCCCCTCGGAGAGACAGTGAGATTTCCGGCAGGGCAGCGTGTTGTAGTTGCTGTAGGGAAGCCCCTCGTCGGTGGCGGCAGCTGGCACCTTGTGGCTCGCCAGATCGGGAATATCCGACACCAGGTTCCGGCCATAGCCCGCAAATTTGCCGCCGGGGCCCCCGTTGGCCGCGCCTGCCGCTGTCACCGCCGCGGACACCGCTGTGGTCTTCTGCGGTGGGTACAGGTTGCCCAGGGAGTTGGCGCGCTGGCAAGAGCCCCGTGGGCGCGGGCTGGCCTGGGTGCCCATGCCCCCCGGCTCCTCGCCGTCTTTCTCCTCGGCCGAGCCCAGGATCTCCTCGTTGCTGGTGAAGTGCTCTTGGCTCAGATCCGAGAGGGAGAACTCGAGGCTGTCTTCCCGCCAGATGTCAGCCGACTTGGAGCGCTTCTTCTTGAAGCTGGCCGTCTCCATGAACACGGGCCCGCCCGAGGAGGAGGAGGTGGCGTAGGGCCGCGGCTGCCTGCCTCCCGCTGCCAGGCAGCGCCCACCCCCGCCGCCGTACAGCCCCCGGCTCTGCTCGGGCTCCGGCATGCTCTGCACGGAGGCGGCCGTGAGCACCAGGCTGCCGTCCACGTGGGGGGCGATGGAGGAGTCCGTGTAGGACACGGGTCTCAAGCCCAGCCCCACCCGGTCCACCCAGATGGGGCCCTCGAAGTCCTCCAGGGGCCCCTCCGGCGAGAAGGGCTCCAGGCCATTCTCGGCCAGTGACTGGGGGATGCTGGGCGTGCTGCTCGAGCGGGTGCTGACCTCCGAGTGCCGGTGGATGGCCTTCCCCGAGCTGGCGTGCCGGCTGCGCCGTGCCTTGTGTGACAGCCGCAGGGAGCGGGAGGTGTGCTTGCGCCCCAGGCTGGCGTGCTTCTCACCGTAAAACTCGTGCTCTACATTCTGGCTTTCGGCGTTTCCCATGGTGTGAGGGTCTGCAGCAGAGGGGGGGCAGGGGAGGAAAGAAAGGGGGAGTTGAGCACATGAGAGGCAGGACTTGGAACAGACGGGGCTCAAGGTGGAGCAGTGAGGGCAGATGCCCACCCGGGCACCACCCCGGTGGACTTCTCATCAGAGAGGGGGTGGGTGAGAACCGTCAGCACCCATCACCTCGGGAGAGGTTTGCAGGGATCAGCCTCACTAGAGAATCAGACGGGAATGCAGGTGCCTGCAAACACACCAGAGGGGGCAGTCCTTGCCTATCTCCCTCTGTTGGCTTTTTTTCCTTTTCTTTTTGGGTCACACCCAGCGATGCACAAGGGGGTTACTCCTGGCTCGGCACTCAGGAATTACTCCTGGTGTTGCTCGGGGTGGTGCCCTATGGGATGCTGGGAATCGAACTCAGGTTTGCCGCGTGCAAGGCAAACGCCCTACCCGCTGTGCTATTGCTCTAGACCCCTCCCTCTGTCTTTTTTTTTTCTTTCAGTTTGTCCTCCCAGGGCTAAAGCGAGAGAACAGCAGTCAGAGCGCTTGCCTGGCACGCAGCTGACCCAGGTTCAATCCCCCGAGCCCTGCTGAGAGTGATCCCTGAGCACTGAGGGAGGAGTCAGTCCTGAGAACCATCAAGTGTGCCCCCCCCACCCCCCGGTCGAAGGAAAACAAGGAGAAGCTGGACTCTCAGATGTATACTTACAACTCCAAGAGTGGATTGGAGAGATAGCACAGGGGTGAGGGTGCTTGCTCTCACACAAAGCTGACCTAGGCACGATCCTCAGCACCACAAAGGGTGCCCCGAGCCCCGCCAGGAAGGATCCCTTAGCAAAACTGAGTGTGGCCCCAAAACCAAGGGGGGGGTGGGGGGCAAAAAACTCTAAAAGTACAAAACCATCAGTGCCTGCCAAATGAATTAATTTCCTTTTGGGAATGACCTGCTTCACCACACAAAATAAAACTCAGGAGGGTGTTGTTCGGGCCACTTTCTTTCCTCCCAGACCTCCACAGCCTCATGCTTGCCTCCACAGACATTTCAAAAGCAATCGCGTGCAAACAAAACAAAACCAACCAAAAATACCCCCCTTCCCAAGTCCAGACCTGAGACACGTTATTAGGTTTCCCAAAGAAGCAAAGTTGAAGAAGGCAAAAATAAATACATAGATCTAAAAAGGTGCTTTTGGGGGTACTTTTCATTGCCACACATTTTGCAAGCCTTGATTTTGGTGTTTTGGGGGAGGGGGTGTGAAGTAGGAGGGGGCAGGTGAAGGGCTGGGCTCAACAAAACAGACACCCTGAAAGGCTGAGCCTCTGCTAGCAGCCGACTAATGGGTCTATTCTGGGAGCCGCTCCAAGCCCGAGAACATGGGTCTGGTACAGTGAGCGCCGGGAACAGAAATGCACATTATGAAACCGCTCGGTGTGGTTCAGCCTCTTGGGACAGCCCAGGCTGACTGGAATCCCTCCTGCCCCGAGTTCACTGACCTGAGGGCTGTCGAAAACAATGAGACACAGACAGATCTTCTAAAGTTCAACAACCGGGACTTGATTTTAGCTCATTCTCTTGAGCTGGCAACGAGGCTGCACGTACTACACTGAGTCCCTCTCCGCACAATGGAAATGGTCAGGAAGGAGAGAGGTGGAAGAATCAAGCAGTCCTGAGCCTGCAATCACCTCCTAGATACTCATGCAAGAAGTAGCCAATGAGTAGTTAGAATGTTCTAGAAGCCCAGGACACAGAGAGGGACAAGGGTGCCACATCCCTGTCACTAGTAAAATTAACACGTTTGGAGCCAAGAGATTGTACAGTGGGTAGGGTGCTTGCCTCACACGTGGCCGACTCAGGTTCAATCCCCAGCACTGCCCATGGTCCCCTGAGTACCCGCCGGGAGTGATTCCTGAGCGCAGAGCCACGAGGAATCTCTGGTCATCACCAGGTATGACCCCCCCAAAAAAAACAAAAACTAACATGTTAGCCCGAGAAGGCAACCAACAGAGTGACAAATGGTGGATTCTTACAAATCTGGGCCACTGACCCCTTATGTGTGAATCTTTTAGTCTTCGACCATTCTACTGAGAACACTGCTTAGACAACTACAACCCCATTTTTATGAAAACAACAATTTGCAGCATCAAGAAAGGAAAACCTCCACAGACTGTTCCAAGATTTCCGAGATAAAGTAGTCGGGGGAAACCAAAGGCTTAGCTCTGTCAGGGCAGAACCTCTCCCCCCCCCCCGCCCGCCCCCCCACCCCACGACAGGTTACCCATCCCAGGAGGTTCAGGAGGCTCAGGGGGAACTTTCCAGGAAAGTGAGTAGCAGCAGCAAGAATATTTCAAAGCAACTGGTTCACACGCCTCTCTGGCTGGTATTTTTATGAGCCCAGAAAGAAAGAAAAACAAAAGAGAAGATTAAAAACTCAATATGGTAGAAGGGAAATGAAATGATCCCATTTTCATGCATGGCCATTTATTTGATTTATGGCATCTACATTCCTAAGAAAGGCTCTCCATGACTTTGAAAAGGAAAATAAACACACATTTCATCAATGTTGAAGGACATACATGAGCAATTGCTTAAGAGTTTGTCTGTTTGGGGGTTTTTGTTGTTGTTTGTAGGTTTTATTTTTTTGTTTGTTTTTTGGGGTGGTTTTTCAGGGGCTGTGTGTGTGTGTGTGTGTGTGTGTGTGTGTGTGTGTGTATGAGGAGTCTATTCCTACCAGTGCTGGGGATGGACCCCAAGGCCAGTGCATACTAAGTCTGTGGTCAGCCCACTGGCCAATCTCTCCAGGTCATAGGTCATGATTTTAGTTTTTATTCATAGTTTTATTTTTATTTTTTGCTTTTTTATGTGTAGGGCCAGGAATCAAACACAGATTGCACGCAGAGCAACGCTTGTGCTCTGCTGTTAGGGTGCATCTGTGGGCCCTGACTTCTTTAAATGTACAGCGAAAGAGCTGGATGTGGATGCCAGGAAGATGGCAGAAGGGTATGAACGTCCTTTGCAAGTATGAGGTTAGGAGTTCAACCCCTGACACTGGGATGGGTATTGGGACAGCGTCTGACTGAAAACCAATCATGGACCAACCATTAACAATACTGTAACTGTGTATCTCACTGTGATTCAATTAAAAAAAATTATTTTTTAAAACTCTGGCACCACAGGGCTGGAGTGACAGCATAGCAGGTTAGGGCATTTGCCTTGCATGCATCCAACCTGGGTTCGATTCCCAGCATCCCATATGATCCCCTGAGCACTGCCAGGAGTAATTCCTGAGTGCATGAGGCAGGAGTCACATTGCCAGGTGTGACTCAAAAAGCAAAAAAATAAATAAATAAAATTGTCACTGTCCTCCCATTGTTTATCGAATTTCTCGAACAGGCACTAGTAACATCTCCATTGTGAGACTTCTTGTTACTGTTTTTGGCATATCGAATATGTCACGGGTAGCTTGCCAGACTTTGCCGAGCGGGCAAAATACTCTCGGTAGCTTGCCAGGCTCTCCAAGAGGGGCTAAGGAATCAAATCCGAGTCAGCCACATGCAAGGCTATGCTATCGCTCCAGCCCAAATAAGACTAAAAAATAAAATAAATAAACTCTGACACTGCATGGCCCCTTGACCACTGCCAGGGGTGGGCCCGGTGGCAGCCTGCTCTGTTGGGCCCAGGTGGCAAGGCAGCTTCAGGCCCCAGCACTGGCCCAACAGTCTTGGTTGGCCAAGCACTACTGGGAGCGCACTGCTTAGAAGGCACCCTCCAAAATTAATCTTTAAATACATTTTTGAAAAAAATATATATATACTTGGGTGTATCTAAGTATCCACGTATTTGCTTGCTAGAAAGGCATCAAAGCTTGGGGGATAGGGGGACTCAGAACACCCCTGGAGGGTTCCTGGTTTCCTTCTAACACTGGGTGGGGGGATAGAGGAAGGGAGACTTGAAAATAAGAATTAATCGTGGGTTGAAAACTCTGGGCCTCCTCAAAGTCTGGGTGGGCAACCTTCCCCAACTCCCTGTACTTCCAGAAGCCCTGGCAGCCACAACTGTGACCCAGTTTTCATTGCTATTTCCAGTAAGTTAAATATTCTGTCCATTTAAATATTCTGGATTTTCTGGAGTGATACCTCCAAGCTCAAGGATACTAACATCCCAGTAGGAGCATACCAGGTTGGATGGGAATATAAACAGACCTCAGTAAAGCTTGACCAACCAAAAAAAAAAAAAAACCAAGAAAACAAAAACAACAACAACAAAACATTAACACAGGAGGCTCAACTAGCAACAATAGCTTAGCAAACTCTCAGACAAGGACATAATAACAATTTTCACAAATTTTCTTTTACTGGATTATTTTCTGATCACTTCATTTGTCATTCAGTGATAACACACAATACAAGATAAATAACTGTGGGCCTGTTATGGGGGCAGGCTTTGAGGGGTGGCTGGAAAAATGGACACAGTGGTAGAGGGAAGGTGACAGGGGTGTTGGGACTGGGGTTGGAACACGAGTGCCTGATGTTCAAAGCATCATGAACATCTTTGTAAACCAGTGTTTAAATAAGATGGGAGGGAAAAAAATAGAAAATAACTAGCCCTGAGGGGTGGTAGGGGTAGGAGACGGGGTGCAGGAGAGAGATTACACAAACCGTATCAATCCCAGCACCATCAAAGTTCCCTGAGCACCGCCAGGTGTGGCCTCAACACCCCCCTCCAAAAAAAAGGAAGTATCCCTGGCCCCAATTTAGGCCCCCATATAATCACATCCATTTCACTATAAAAGAGGAGTGCAAAAAAATAATGTTTAAAGGAAGAGGTAAAAACTTGAAGGGCGGGGAGGCTGGAGTAATAGTACAGTGGATAGGGCATTTGCCTGGCACAAGGCCAACCTGAGTTTGATTCCCAACATCCCATATGGTTCCCTGAGCAATGCCAGGAGTAACCTCTGAGCATTGCCAGGTGTGACTCAAGAAGCAAAAACAAAAACCAACCAAACAAAAAAACCTT